AAACACACACACACACACACACACACACTGCTTTAGTTTATATTTCAACTAGTGAGGGCTGGTTTAACGAACGCCACTGATTAGCGGTTCTGATCCCGAAACTGTGCGATGAGAAGGTCAGTCGATGAGAGAATCCACTCTAGTCCGATAAGATCTGGAGTTTCGCTCGGTTTCATTACTGACGCACACACACACACACACACACACATACACACAATGATGCTGTTGTTCATGTCCTCGATCTCTGTCTGTGATTTTAGCTCAGAGAAGTCGTGCCAACTCAACATCAGATGAACTGAGGGAGGATTGTGTGTGTGTGAGTGTGTAAAGGAGAGATCCTTCAGGATCACACACACACACACACACACACACACAGAGAGAGAGAGAGAGAGAGTCTCCTTACATTTACGTGGCCGTCATGAATAGGACATTGTTCCCACAGGACACAATGCTGGCTCTACAATCAGTGTGTGAGAGAGAGTGTGTGTGTGTGTGTGAAGTGGGGGTTGAAATCTGGGTCAGTCCTAAAAGCAGATAAATGAGAAAACGACCCCAGCTCAGTCTCTCTCACACACACACACACACACACACTCTCTCTCCGCTTTTGTTTATTTTGATCTGGTTCCCGGTGGTTCAGGAGGAAGAGCAGCTTTAGTCTCGTAGCTCGAGTTAGTGGAGTTTCTGCTCCATGTTTTCACAGAACCCCCGAAGCGTCCGCGCTTCACACACACACACACACACACACCACGAGTCAGCAGTGAGAGGCCACAGGTGAACAGCCGAGTTCATCAGTCACACTAATGTATATCGCAAGTTTCCTGAAATGTTTAAATATGCAAATGAGGCTTTATCTAATTAAATATGCACTAATTTGCATGCATTTCCAGAACAGAAATCACAACATTGGATAAAGTTGGATTCAGAACTCATGTTTGATTTTGTTTTCCAGAGGGGATTCTGGATATAAAAGAGAAAATACTGACGGAAAACACGTTTGTAGGAATGAAATCTTGTATAAAGCAGATGAATGATTTATGAAGAATATAAAAGTGTGTAAAGCAGCAGAAGTGGAGATCTGTGACTCAAACTCTCCGCTTTAAACACTGAGACTGAAATCTACAGACGCTAAGAGCAATAAAACACAGTTAAATGTGTGTGTGGATGTGTGCTGTCCACGGGTGTGAAAGAGGACGAGTGTTATGGAAAAAACATTAAAAAGTGTCTCGCTGTAATAACATGACCTGGAATATGATTTTATACCGATCTCAGTAATCAACAACGTGCAGATTTACATAACAACACATCGCTAGCATCACTGTAGGGTCCAATCGCGATATTAAGTCGCTTATTATTATGCATATTACTACGACATTGGCTAATAAAGCACATATTAATGCTTTATTCTGCATCCATGAATAAGCTGTGATCAGGTGTTTATTGAGGCGACGGGTATATAGTGTTAATCGTGAGAATCAGACCCTAAACTAAAGTGTGACACACACATCGCTGTTCTCTGGAAGTAAATATTCCCCGTTTACCAGACTCACGTGACAGAGAAAGTGCCGTTCAGCATGAATTTTATTAAAAATTCCATAATGCATAAATAAATTCTTTTTCTGTACAAAGTTTGTGAAACTTCATTAACCTTTGAGAAGTCAAGAAACACTGAAGCAGAAACACACTCTACACAACAACACACACATGTGGAGTTTCCTCCCGACATCAGACGCTCTGATCATCTCTAACTTTCTGTGCGCGATTCCCGTACAATGCAATCATCGGAGACGACATGAAAAATGCTTTTCTTACTCAGTATTTGAGTCTTGTTTCCAGTCCAAATATCTAAAACATTCATCAAGAAGTATTTATTAGATGAGTAAAATGACAAGAAATTCTGTCTTGTTTCCTGATTAAAAACAATAGAATTAACGCAAGCAAAATTATCTGCCAATAGGGTCAGAAAACAAATCGGAATTCTAATGGAAAACAAGAAAAAAAAAAACTTAATTCTAATGGAAAATAAGGGGGAAAGAATTGTAATTCTAATTGAAAACGAGAAAAAAAACCTAATTGTAATGGAACAAAACTTAATTCTAATGAAAAAAAATGAAAAAAGTCGTAATTCTAATGACAAACAAAGGAAAAAAACGAATTGTAATGCAAAACAAGAAAAAAATTCTTAATTCTAATGGAAAATAAGAAAAAAAACATAATTCTAAATGAAAACAAGAAAAAAATTGTAATTCAAATAGAAAACAAGAAAAAAACTCAATTCTAAAGGAAAATAAGGGGGAAAGAATTGTAATTGTAAACGAGAAAAATAAACTAATTCTAATGGAAAACAAGAAAAAAATTAATTCTAATGGAAAACAAGAAAAAAATTATTCTAATTGAGAACAAGGGGGAAAGAATCGTAATTCTAATTTAAAACAAGAAAAAAAACCCAATTCTAATGGGAAAAAAAAAACTTAATTCTAATGAAAAAAAAGAAAAAAGTCGTAATTCTAATGAAAAACAAAGGAAAAAAACTAATTCTAATGGAAAGCAAGAAAAAAAATCTTAATTCTAATGAAAAAAAAAGAAAAAAGTCATAATTATAATGAAAAACAAGGGAGGGAAAAGAATCTGAATTCTAATGGAAAACAAGATCATTTTTCTGACCCCATTGGCAGATAATTTTTTTTGTTTTAAGCAAAAACTCACTGAATATTTTTTTATCAGGAAACGAGAGAGAATATCTCATGTCATTTCTCTTTTCTAATTGATTCTTGATTTAAGAATTTTTAGATATTTGAGCCGGAAACAAGACATAATACGAAGTAAGAAAAGCATTTTTTGCTGTGTAGAAGATGATTTGCATAGAGTACGTTTCTGATCTCAGAGTTTACATAAACTCATTAGACGTTACTAATAATTCATTATTATGCAAAGAAAGAACGTTTAAAATTGAAAACCACTGAAATCAAATATTAAAACTCAGTTTGAAGCTTGACGTTTTTCAGGCACTGGGTGTTGATTTCCAGCACTCATGAGGAACCGAGACGTGTAGAGATGTGCTGGTCATCTCTGAGCTTCAACATCAGAGTCCAGTACAGCTGAAGTGTGTGTGAGGCTGTTCAACATCAGAGTCCAGTACAGCTGAAGTGTGTGTGAGGCTGTTCACAGCTCCTGAAGGGCCTCTTCTCCTAAACGAAGCGCTTGATCCCAGAACCGCTGCTTTAGGAGACGAGGAGGAGTAAGACGCGAGTACAATGAGAGTCTGCTGGCAGCAAGAGCTCAACACACGTCTCGAGTCACTGAACACACACGTCCCGAACGTCTCGAGTCAGGCGGAGTCCACGATTGCTCAGATTCAGGCCCGATGAGTCGATCAAATACGAGCAGATGGACAGACTCGGATTCTGATTCGATCACACACATTATTGAGATGATTATCAAACATGTTTCCGTGTGCGGAACGACTTGCAAGTCCGAGGAAACGGTTCCGAAGCTTGAAGGGTTCGGGACCATTTCGTTCATTTAGTTTTAACTCATTTTGTAATTACATTTTATGAATTAAGCAGCTCGTAAACATGCTTTACCAGCAGAAGAAAAAAACATGAAATCAAAATGCAATCATTCAAGACCTTTCACATTTTTTGGAATGAAGGCTTCTTTAAAATTTAGTCTAGAACCTAAAGTTTAATATTGAACCTTTTTTTGGTTACGTTTTATATCGATGTTCCTACATGTCAACTAACTAGAGTGTCTGCTTTCACACTGCAAACAAGCCAAACTATCTGCCAATGGGGGGAGAAAAATCATCTGAATTCTAATGAAATCAAGAAAAAAAATCTAAATTCGAATGGAAAACAAGGAAAAAAAACTTGATTCAAAATGGCAAACAAGAAATAAATCTTAATTCTAATGGGATAAAAATTATCATGGAAAACAAGAAATAAATCTTAATTCTAATGGGATAAAAAATTATAATGGAAAACAAGAAAAAAAACTTGATTCAAATGGAAAACAAGAAATAAATCTTAATTCTAATGGGATAAAAAAATTATAATGGAAAACAAGAAATAAATCTTAATTCTAATGGGATAAAAAATTATAATGGAAAACAAGAAAAAAAACTTGATTCAAATGGAAAACAAGAAATAAATCTTAATTCTAATGGGATAAAAAATTATAATGGAAAACAAGAAAAAAAACTTGATTCAAATGGAAAACAAGAAATAAATCTTAATTCTAATGGGATAAAAAAATTATAATGGAAAACAAGAAATAAATCTTAATTCTAATGGGATAAAAAATTATAATGGAAAACAAGAAATAAATCTTAATTCTAATGGGATAAAAATTATCATGGAAAACAAGAAAAAAAACTTGATTCAAATGGAAAACAAGAAATAAATCTTAATTCTAATGGGATAAAAAATTATAATGGAAAATAAGAAAAAAAACTTGATTCAAATGGAAAACAAGAAATAAATCTTAATTCTAATGGGATAAAAAATTATAATGGAAAACAAGAAATAAATCTTAATTCTAATGGGATAAAAATTATAATGGAAAACAAGAAATAAATCTTAATTCTAATGGGATAAAAATTATTATGGAAAACAAGAAAAAAACTTAATTCAAATGGAAAACAAGAAATAAATCTTAATTCTAATGGGATAAAAATTATTATGGAAAACAAGAAAAAAACTTAATTCAAATGGAAAACAAGAAATAAATCTTAATTCTAATGGGATAAAAAATTATAATGAAAAACAAGAAAAAAAACTTGATTCAAATGGAAAACAAGAAATAAATCTTAATTCTAATGGGATAAAAAATTATAATGGAAAACAAGAAATAAATCTTAATTCTAATGGGATAAAAAATTATAATGGAAAACAAGAAATAAATCTTAATTCTAATGGGATAAAAAACTATATTGGAAAACAAGAAAAAAAAACTTGATTCAAATGGAAAACAAGATTAAAAAAAAATATTACCCCACTGGCAAATAATTTAATCCCTTTATTTTGAATTTTTCATTTGAGAAAACAAGATACACTTTCTTAAGTCATTTTACTTTCCTAGCAGTCGAGTTCAAAATATTTCAGATCGCTTTCTCCCGCCTCCTCAGACTCGACGCTCACACGGGTCCGGTTTAAGCAACAGGAACGAGCGCGACTCTCAACGTGTTTCCTCAATATATGCAAACATGTTATGGTATTTTTATGCTTTAGAAGAGTGAAAATGCTACATATATATATATATATTGCACCTTTAAAGGCAGCAGAATGTCTAAAGTTACAATCTCCAGGTCTCAGGTGTATTCCAGCCTTGAATGGTTTCATTCCATCATCCGGCCATTTAAAGAGTCTCAAACGCAGCGAGAGCGAAAATAAAAACTCAAAACTACACAATTATGATGAAAATTTTTCGACAAGTGTCACCAATGTCACGTGTGATCTTTAGTTGTTTGGATGCCATTCCTTCCTGCAACCGCTAACCGCGCGGGCGAGGCTTGTGTGCATAGAGTTACACACTCTCCAGATGTGGAGTCGTGTGTTCACAGAGTCCGAGACGCCGCGAGAACGAGCAGCAACAGCGCGTGTGGAGACAGAGCCGAAACGCTGGAGCCGGACGCCACCGCGTCGCTCGCCTCGCCTCCCGGTCTCGCCTCGTAATCCTCGTCCTCGTACGCGTCGTCGTGTTCGCCGCCGGGATCTCCGATCAAACACAGTTTCGCCATGTTCTGTTTCACCACCTCACAAAATGGCCGCTCGAGGCCGTCGCACACGCAGGTGTTTAGCATCTCGCCGTCCGGCATTAGCAGAAGCTGCTCGATGGTGGAGCGGCACTGCGGCGAGCACTTCCTCCCGTTGAACAGTTGTCCGCAGTGGGAGAGATACGCCATCAGAGCCGCGTGACACGCGGGGTCGTCCTCGCACCGCCGGCGCGCTTCGGTGCAGCCCATGCTAGGGTGAGTGCGCGGGAGACAGGGGTCGATGGCTCGTTTAGCGCTCAGACACTCGTGATCCGTCTCGCAGGAGCATCTCTCCAGATCCGGCCCGGATCCGGTTTGGTTGAGGCGGATTAGCGCGCTAATACAGTGGCTAGGACACTGGCGGCGTTCCCCGCGGATGTTCCCGTCGCACGCGCTCAGGTACTGGTTATACGCTAGCTCACACTCGCGCTCCTCGTGACACCTGACTAGCGCCTGCCAGCACACCAGCTGAGCGTCCAGAGTCGCCATCACGGCCCAGACGACGAGCGCCGAGAGGATCTTCATGACTGAGCTCAGACGTACGCGCGCATCGGAGCGGTTCTCAAGCGCAGCGCCGGGGGGACACAGGGCATCGCGCGGCTAACACTTCAGCGAGAAAACTCACGTAATCAGTCCAATCCCTGCGACCCGAGGGCATTCCTCTCCGTCTTCATGAGAGTTTCAGCAAGAAAAGTCACTCATTTATTCAATAATGAAGCTTTTCCATCAGTCGGCCAGTCCAGTCCCTGCGATCCGATGCACTCCTCTCTGAATCCTCCGTTCCCGTCGAGTTTCTGTGAGTTCGAGAGTCAGTTTCTGCGAGAACGCCTCTTAGAAAGGTCATTTAAACTCCACAATGAAGCTTTCAGTTCAGTTCAGTCCGGCGATCCGATGCATTTCTGTGTGTCAGAATGGCAAAACTTCATTTCAGAGAGAAAAGACTCGTTTACTCCTCAACGAAGCTTTGATCCGAGGGCTCCTTCCTGCTGTAGTTCAGAGTGAGTTCTGCTGTTACGGCTTCATGCTGCATGTCTTTGTCCCTCCGACTCTTTCACGCTCGGCTGTGCATTTACACACACACACACACACACACGACCCCTCCTCCGAAACCCTCCTCTCTCTCTTTATTATTCATTCTCTTGTTCTATTGGCTGTAAACGCGGGATTTCATCCATAGAAACGCAGTTTTTGGCAAAGCTCACCTCCTGTACGGGACAAATAAAATGTTTATAAATTTCATGAAGCTTGCGAGCTGTGTGGTCTCACGTTCTCTCTCTCTGTGTGTGAGATTACAAAACCCTGTCAGGAGAGAGAGAGAGAAACACACACACACACATTCCTCTGTTGGAAGCTCAACATCTGCAAACCACTTCTTCAATTTAAAGCGCAGAAAAACAAATCTGTTTCTCTTTAGTGCGAACCCAAGAACAAGCCCCTGTATAAGCCGAGCCGGTCCCGGTGGGTTTCTTCTTCCCCCGTTCCCTCTCGGGCGGTTTAATCGCGCCCCGGTGGAAAAGAAAAGGCCACAAAAGTGTTTTCTGGACCGTTTCACCCTCTTTGTGTGCGCCTGGCCATGCAGCAGCCCAGAGGAACGCCAATAGAGAGACTTTCCACAACAATATCTTTACTGCCCTGTCCTTTCACTGCGCACTCGAGTCCCGCCGTCCTCGGCTATTCACATGGAAAACAGCGGATTGAGGAGGAGCCGTCCCGGAGAGAGTGACGGGACAGAGGAGTCCGTCTTCAGGTGGGGGACGTTAGGGGACTCGGACGGACAGAAAACATGTTTCTGACACGTTAGGCGGAAAATCATGCTTTGGTAAATCACGTGACATTAAAAAGTCAATTATAACATAACATGTCAAAACTATGACATATATGGTGCCAACTCCTGCGAAGGTTTCAGATGACGCACCAATGCTATATTTTCTAAATGCAATAATCATTTGTATTATTTTTTCATTAAATTATTACATTGTTTAAATTATTATTTTATTTTTTTTAATAATTGTGTCATAAAATGTCAAAACTATGACATACTGTATATGGTGCCAACTCCTGCGAAGGTTTCAGATGACGCACCAATGCTATATTTTCTAAATGCAATAATCATTTGTATTATTATTTCATTAAATTATTACATTGTTTAAATTATTATTTTATTTTTTTTAATAATTGTCATAAAATGTCAAAACTATGACATATATGGTGCCAACTCCTGCGAAGGTTTCAGATGACGCACTGAATCAACATGCACCAATGATATATTTTATAAATGTCATAATCATTTGTATTATTTCATTAAATTATTACATTGTTTAAATTAATCATTTGTTAATTTTAGTTTTTTTTTTAAATAATTGTGTCATTAAAAAGTCAAAATTATAACATAAAGTCAATATTTCAGCATTAATCGAAATCATGGCATCAAAGTTATAACAGTCAGTTGTGACCAAAAATCAATATTGACATAAAAAAAATCTAAATTGAGGTAAAAAGTCCAAATTATATGTCGTCGAAATCGAAGTCAAATTTATTATATAATAATTGTCATAAAAATATTGTAATAGTGGTCAAAAAAAGTACAAATTTGACAAGTCAGAAAATATTGATGTCAAGAAGTCAAAATTAAGACATGATGAAATTATGACCAAAAAAAAAAGTCTAAATAATGATAAATCTAAATTAGGATGTCATAATGACAAAAAAAAAAATCAAAATGATAACAAAAAGTTAAAATTGACACAAAATCATAATTTTGACAAGTACAGATTATGACATAAAAAAATCTAAATAACAACTTTGTCATAATTTTAACATTTTTGTCATAATTATGATTTAAAGGCATGATTTCCTTTCTTATGGGGTGCAAATGTGCTTCTATACTGTTGATTTTTAAAACTTCTGTCTGTAAATCTCAAATTATCTAAATCAAACTGTGGTAAAGATTATTTCAGTCGGGTTTTCCTCAGTCTCTGCCTGTGGTGTGTGAGCGGCGTCTGAAACCGCGTTACCTGCAGCTCTGGTGTGTGTGCGCTGAATCACGTGTCGTGTTCCTCATTTGTAAGATGCTTTGGATGAAATCGTCTGTGTAAGTGTAAATGTAAACAGAATCAGTGAGGTAAAACACACTAAATCACAGCTGGGTAGTCGAGTTATACTGCATCTGAAACAGTTTCAAAGAACATTATAGTTGTAGATATGCTGTACATGTGGATGAGAAACTGTGAAACTTCAACAGCTAAAAAGTTATTAAAACACTTGATATTTACCTAAACTGGATGTTGGTTTGCAAAAGGTTGTTTGTTAGGTCCACTACCCACCTATAGGCTTCCTGATGAGAGCATTAGTGTTACGGAAGCGTGTTTCTGTTGCCCGATATCGCCACCTACAGGTCAGACACGGCACTGCATGATCACACAATGCCTGAAATCATATCACATGCATCATAATCTTTGTACAAATGTATTTATTACACTTTCAACAGTCAAAAATCAGCAAGGTCCGGAAGTTACAGAAGAATAATTACACGAATGCATCACATTGGTAATTACGTTACTTATGCAGCGGAAACGACTATCGAGGGCATAAGTAAAATAAACACCTCTAGCCAGAAATAAACATACAATAATCATACGGGTCAAATCAAACATAGCTTTTGTCTTCACATGGACTGGCCATCAGCTCTGTCCTTTAGATCAGAGATGGTAATATTAATATTGCTTTGTTGTTTCGCTTATTGCTCCTTTACTCAGAACCCAAACCCCAGTATGGCTTCATTCGTAAGACACAGAACATGAACTCCTTCATTCTCACCTCAACAGAAGATCATTATTCCCAGACAGCAACCGTGTCTGCTCAGACCCGGCCCACATGTGGATTACACACGGCCCAGATGTGGGCAGACACAATGTTACCGTCTGTTTTTCTTTTTTTTAAAGAAACACTCTCTATAAGAGGGAAAACCAGAAAGAAAAAGGTCGACGACACCAAACCACCTGCACAAAACAGCAGCACTCAATGAAAGGTCAAAGGGCGTTAATGACGTCAGGGGTCGTTAAGGTGAAACGTGAAGGTGTTTGTGTGGAAGGACCTCCATTCCTGCTCCCATAAGCCCTTCATACAGACATAGCGACCCAGACAGCAGCATAGTGTCGACCCAGATCCGGGCCACGTCTGGAACATGTGGATTCACTGCATTCACATCTAGAACATGTGGATTCAACGCGTTCCAGATCCGGGCCACATCTAGAACATGTGGATTCAACGCGTTCCAGATCCGGGCCACATCTGGAACATGTGGATTCAACGCGTTCCAGATCCGGGCCACATCTAGAACATGTGGATTCAACGCGTTGTGGATTCAACGCGTTCCAGATTCGGGCCACATCTGGAACATGTGGATTAAACGCGTTCCAGATCCGGGCCACATCTGGAACATGTGGATTCAACACGTTCCAGATCCGGGCCACATCTAGAACATGTGGATTCAACACGTTGTTGATTCAACGCGTTCCAGATTCGGGCCACATCTGGAACATGTGGATTAAACGCGTTGTGGATTCAACGCGTTCCAGATTCGGGCCACATCTGGAACATGTGGATTAAACGCGTTCCAGATCCGGGCCACATCTGGAACATGTGGATTCAACACGTTCCAGATCCGGGCCACATCTAGAACATGTGGATTCAACACGTTCCAGATCCGGGCCACATCTAGAACATGTGGATTCAACGCGTTGTGGATTCAACGCGTTCCAGATTCGGGCCACATCTGGAACATGTGGATTAAACGCGTTCCAGATCCGGGCCACATCTGGAACATGTGGATTCAACACGTTCCAGATCCGGGCCACATCTAGAACATGTGGATTCAACACGTTCCAGATCCGGGCCACATCTAGAACATGTGGATTCAACACGTTCCAGATCCGGGCCACATCTAGAACATGTGGATTCAACGCGTTGTGGATTCAACGCGTTCCAGATCCGGGCCACATCTGGAACATGTGGATTCAACGCGTTCCAGATCCGGGCCACATCTGGAACACGTGGATTCAACGCGTTCCAGATCCGGGCCACATCTGGAACATGTGGATTCAACACGTTCCAGATCCGGGCCACATCTGGAACATGTGGATTCAAAGCGGCCCGGATGTGGGCCGGATCTGAGCCGACACCACGCTGCTGTCTGGGAAGTCGTTTCTCCGCGAACCCGCTACGCTATCGCTGTAATAAACCTGTTCAGACCGGAGCAGTGAATCTCCAGAAACATGTCGTATTTCACCACAAAGTCAAGAAATTATAGTTGCACGTTATTTGCATTGCGACGTTACTTTCATGAGAACATAATTTATACAAAATATACCTTTCCCGTGAGGTGAAATGCGACCTGAGCATGTTTACCGTGAGATTCTACGAGCAGGGTGTGTACATTTAAACTCCTAGAACAACATTAGCATCATGAAACCTACACGTCACACTGGATACATGAATACGGATGTTTGTCAGCATGTGTTTGGAGACGAGGAGAGGATGATCACATGACGCAGCACTTCTCGGCAGAGTTCTTCAGGTCCTCCAGCGTGGCCTGAGCTTTGCCCTTCAGATGGCTCATGTCCACGTTCTGGATGTTGGTCAGCTGACCCAGGACCGACTGCTTCTGCTCCTCCTCCTGGTTGTCTTCGGCGATCATCTTGGCCAGTTCAGTGGGGAGCTCAACGTCATCCCGCGCCGCCTGGATCTGAGTCTCGTCCAACTCGTTCTGGAAAACAGGCCATGAAAAACATACAAATACATTAGGCCGTGTTCATTTATGCATTTGGCAGACACTTTTATCCAAAGCGAATTACAATGCATTTCAAGGCACACATTTACATTCTTATCAATTCTTGCTTTCCCTGGGAATCAAACCCATGACCTTGGCGTTGCAAGCGCCAGTACTCTACCGTTTGAGCTACAGGAAAGATCAAGTTCAAGTCACCTTCATTTATAAAGTGCTTTTAGCAATAATCGAGAATAAATTAACTTAGAGGCCGCTAACATGACACCGCTATGCATTAAT